ACTTTTAGGACTAAAACCATGGATTTGAAATTTAAGAGACCAAAACCAAAATATACTCAGACTTCAAATATAAAAAATTATATTAACCCTTATATATATATATATATATGTGCGCACGCGCGCTAAATGGAACCCGAGCTGTTATAAAATATGAGTTGTATTGTTACCAAATAGACTAATATTGATTAGCAAGTTAATATAGGCTTGATTTATGGGTTTGGCTTCAGGCTTATTTCTAAATTTTGATGAAATGTTGTCGACTTTTCAATTTTCAAGTTCATTTTAAGTTAAGTAGCTGGCTAATATTTTTCGTCTTTATAACTTAAACAAATTGCATATATTTTTAAGTTTTGCTAAAATTTTGTGCTTGTGATATGTTAAAGAAAAATTTACTTACTGATTGTCTATTGTTTTATTCTTAATTTATCATTTAACTTAGTATTGTTATTAACATTTTCAAATGTTTATTTTAAAATTCCGTTCTCCTAATTTAATTGAAAAGAAGAATAAACCTTCAAAATCTCATATTTTCTCCCAATCTTAACCCCCACTATTCATTACATGACAAATTACCGCATTCCTGGAAAAATATTAATTTGATCTCTATAATTTACCTAAATTTTTTAAGTTGGTCCCTATAATTTTAAATTGTATACTTCACTCCCTTCCTTAATTACATTTTTGGTATGTATGCTAATCTCTGATTTTGTAAGAGTTTTCAATTAAATCCCTTCAGTGTCATGTGGGAAATTAAATCTACAAGTGAGAAAAATGAGAATTAACACCTCATTCCCTTCCCTTCAACCCCAGGCATCAATAATGATCTTAATTAATCTAATGATTTTAACCTAATTAATTAATCAATCAGATTAAGGTCCCAGATGAACATCAAACCACACGAAGCTTTAAAAAAAAAAAAAGTTTCAGTCTTGGCATATGGTCAATAAATAGTATTAATAGAGCCACCTGATCGATGAAAAGCTGTCTGTCTACCTACAGTATACAATAACCTTTTTATTATACATATATATAAATTATTAATTATTAATGTTATCAAAGGAAATATCTTTGTGTTTTAATTATTACAATAATTTATTTTGTCTCAAGAGGCAGACATGTGGGCTTCCATGATCATCATGATTACTACTGTTGATTACTTTCAATCTTTGATAATTAATTATAGTTGAGAGAGCTGATGAAACACATTGATTATGTGTCTTTTGTGTATAATTATCTAAAAAAGTCATTTAATAAGTGAGGCAGGCTCATTCAATGAATGGCCAATTTGATTCTCAACCTTTACAGGTAGCCATTAGCTTGAAATTATCATGATGCCTCTGAACATGAGGCCTGTTATTTAATAATTGGTAAAGATGTATTAATAGTTTAATCAAACTTAAATTTAGCAGTTACATACATGCATTTAATTTATAAGAAAGAATGGAGCAAATTGGAAGTTATTTAATTTTGATTTGGGTTTGTTGTTGGGAAGGATAATATATTAAAATAAAAAGAGAGTTATCCCTCTTTTTTTTGCCTTTTTTTTTTAAGATTAAATTGCAAATTCAATAAGCTATAAAGTTTAATGGTATATATACATAATTTCACCATGTTTAATACTCGTCCTGTCCTTACTAGATGACTTAATTTAAAAGTTGATGTTTATCCTATATGTAAGACATATTTTATATGTTTATCAAGTTTTTTCTCTAATTAACCCTATTGATATTCCTTGAAAAATAATCAAGTAGGAGAGTGAGGAAAGGAATTAAGAAAGATGATTAGAGTGTTTTAAAAATCATATCATACTAACTAATTTAACTAACATCTTTAATCTATTTAAATTAGTTAACTAGGTATTATATTAAGAATCAGAGGAGCAATTTGATTTGGTTGTTTTTCTACCAAATTCCAAGAAAATTCTTTTTCTCTGTATTCACTTCATTCAGATGGCTTTCATAACATTGTGCAAGGAATAATTATCCTACTTAATGTCATCTAGTGTGAGAGAAACATTCCTGTTCATAACAGTATCATTTAGTCTCCTCATCGTGTCATTAGAGAAATTCTTGGCATTTTAGCCTTTTCATCTACAACCTTCTCAGGTGAGAGCACAGAGACGCTACTTACTTTTTTTCAGTCTAAATGCTCCACTAATGTTTAAAGAAGGATTGGTACATATTGATCCAAAGGAGTAAAGTTCACACAAAAATGAAGCGTCATGTCATCATTTGTAATTTAGGACAATCAGTACTATATTTTCTTCATGATAGTACTAAGGATTTCTTGGAAATCATTTGCATCAATAAGAACAGATTTAATCTAACATATTTCCATCCTGTTATTTGGTAAGATTTATGAATGATGTTGTCAAATTTTTCTAATCTCTTATCTTTCTTTAGCCCCCCTTCACTTTTTCATTCCATTATTACTAATTATATACTCTTCCAATCCTTAATATAGGATCCAATTCTTGAATTCGTTTTGGTCCTAAATATAAGACCCATTTATCATATTTATCAATTTTCTCTAAATTACCCCTATGGATACTCCCTCAACCATAGTCAAGTAGAAGAAGGTATTAAGAAAAATAATTATGGTGTTTTAGAAAAAATGTGTCATTTTTCTTATAATTAACTAACTTACTTAACTTCTTTAATTTAATCAAATTAGTTAAATGAATCTTATATTAAGGATCAGAAGAGTATGTCTGTGCATATTATATGAAGCGACCGTGTAAACTTATCCTCTTTTAATATCATTTTGACTTTCATGAAAAGCAAATTTTAATTTCCCTTTCTCAAGTTTAATTAAAATTTCCAAGTATATTCTATAAGTTAGCCAAAGAAATAGAACGATAAGAAAAACTTCTAATAAATTGATTAAATGTTATTGGGTCAATACAGTTAGTCCTTATACGTAGTTTAGTTAGATTTTAGTTTTGATCCCTGTAGCTTCAAATTGTTAATTTTAATTTCTATAGTTTTATAATTTGTTTATTTGAGTTCAATGAATGGTCCATATAATTTTAACAATTTTTAATTTTATTTTTATAATTAAATTCAGACCAAATTATCTTTATGAAATTATAAAAGGTAAAATCAAAATTAGATCAACAACCAACGATAATATCATCCCAATATTATTAAAGGTCTTAATAATATGATAACTGGGAAAAGCATAAAAACACAAATCATAAGTTGCAAATAAAAAAAGGAAACATCAAAATTAAATGAAAGTTCAAAATACAAAAATGGGAGAAGAGGAGACATTAAATACTCCCCCAGCCCTTACTGCATAGCCTATATGAAGAGTTGATATTAATGCTATATATGAGATCTATTTCATATGTTTATTATTTTTTTTCAAATTAACCATATTACAATAATCAAATAGTAGATGAAGGGAGTGAATTAAGGAAAATGCGTAGGGTGTTTTAAAACGAAAACATTATATTAACTAATTTAACTAACATTCTTAATATATTTAAATTAGTTAATTAGGTCCTACGTTAAGACCGGAAAAGTAGCATGATTAGTCAATTAATCTGGCTAATACATGTGGTTTGCATTGTTCAATAAGCACATGTAATCACTTTGAGCCAAGATGTGACCATGATAATTTGAGCTTTTAAAACTTAAAACATAAATGTTATAGCTTTGTGTTTCAGCCTTTCAACATTTTAATTAACATACATTAATTGGACTTCATATATATGTAAAAGAGAAAATCCTAAAAATATAACTCTAAAATTTCAATATCTCAAATCAAGAATAACTACAAAAATGTGATGTCATTTCTTTTTCAAATATTGTCGATTGTCATTAAAGTACAGTAATTAAATACGATTGATTTAGAATTTTAAAATTTAAAGTTTTTTTTTTTGTGGATTCTCCCTTTGTAAAATTTACACTCAGAATACCAAACAAGCATTGGAATTGCTCAGCATGAATGACATATTCGCATGCCTTTATCTTGCAATCAACATGAAATAAGAGAAAATACGTAGAAATTGGACTAAAAAAAAGATATTAAAATGCATAAGATTTCTCCCTTAAATTAATAATAATAATACAATTAGTAATTATACTCATTAGACATATATACACCATAACTTGTAAAAAGGAAGATTTTACTTAATTTTTTCCTTAATTTTTCATTTAATTAGTATAGTTAAACATTATATTTATTGAATCTTTATCATTAAAAAGGATTTAATGGAGTCTTTATTAAAATCTATTTCTTTATGCTAGATTAAACTTTAGGTGAGTAAAGGGTCTTAAGAGACTCATGCGGGTTACATAACTCAAAGGGTATCTTTATAAGTATTAACATTGAATCTTCTTTTAATACATTTTTTATTTCTACTACTAATTAATATGATTAATCACTTACCCCCATCACTCCACTAATTAATAGCAATGCCATATATATATATATATATATATGATTTATCTATTTAATTATATAAGCACCATTGTCATTTTTTCTTAATTAGGCAAATGTGCTTGTCTTTTTTATCATAGGTCTGTTCAAGACATTATCAGTCACTAAATGTGATATATTACATTTGGTTTTCAATATAAGAGCTAGATAGTTAATTTGAGGATATTAAACAAGTTAGCTATTTATAAAAAAATGTGTGTTGACTTCCTTAAATTATCTTTATTCATGCAATCATATATATTAAAACTACATTCATGTAGAAATACCTTACGATTAATAGAGATATTTTTGAGAACATATTATAAATTTTGGAAGACAAGGCAAATTGTTATCTTATATTTAGGACTGTCAACTAGTTGTTATATTTAGGACTGAAAGTAGTATATTTCAATAAAGATTTGAAATTTGGTTTGTGTGAAGGATTATTCCCTTCTGCTGGTTCCATTAATTAGTTAGCACCATTGTCCTTTTATCTCGTGGCCAAAAATTCACAGCAGGCAAATGCGTTCGTCAAAGACAATAAGTCTATTGGAGAAGATCGAAAATGCGGCATAAGTCATATATATTTATATTTGAGATATCAAAGTGCCACAAGTATAGTCAGGATAACAAAATTTAATAACAAAGGCCGAACATTCTTAAAACTAGAGGAATTACAAGGAACCAAATCAAAGTTTGAGATCATCATCGATCAGCCCCTACAAATCGCAGGTATTTGTTGAGCAGAAAACGAACATAAACTTGTTGTTCCTCCATTATTATCACTTATACTGATCTGAGACGACTTCTTACAGTGAGCAATGGCTCCCTGGATCGAATTTTCTCTCTCAGAGTTCGTACTACAACACCTCTTGAGGTTTTGATGAGTTGCACTAGATTTGTTTGGAGCTAAAAAAGAAGAAGATGAAGAAGATGAAGATTTGTTGTTTCCTGATTGCATCAACTTTAGCCCCACTGAGAATGACCTCCTGTGTCGATTATTGCTATTTCCAGTTCCATTTCCATTTCCATCTTCACTACTCGTTCTTTTTTCTTTATTGTTTGTTCTCTGAATCTGTCCAAATGGTACTTTCTTCCCTGATTTCGCGTTCTTGTTCAAGCCCTTTGAAGCTGAGCTTTCATCTGCAACTTTTGTTGAAACTGCATAGTAGGTTTCACAAGAACAGGCTCCAGATTTGCCAAAGAGAGACCTAAGGTAAGCCCTTGAAGCCTTTATGGTGGACCCTAAGGAAGGCTTTTTCATGAGCTTCTTGGTCCATGACTTCTTGTTCTGGTACTGATGCATTTTTTCATCACCGATATGATCATGATCATGATCATCATCACCAAACTCGAAGATATACTCTTCTGGGTTTAGTTCTCTGCTAACTTGGCAAGACTCAAATGGCGTGTTGCATGTGGTTGTGGTTGGTGTGGGTTTTGTGGTGGTGGCTAAAGGAGTACTGAAGAACTCATCTTGATCAAACTCATTATGAAAGGTCTGGTTTTTGTGATCAAAATCAGGAAAAGGAGAGTTTTGAAGAAGCTTTTCAACCATCTGTAACCTAGGAGGAAGATGAAGAGGAAGAAGCTTCCCTTTGTAGAAAAGCTCATCAGCTGGGGAAGCTATAGCTTCTGATCTCTCTTCAACATAAGTGGAGGACATTTGAAACTCAAACTCTCTGGGTTGTGACTGCGAGTGGCAGAAGATGGCATTAGAGTACGAACTAACTTCCATGTCAATGAAATCTTCACCGCCAACAAGAATTTTTGCAGCCATATCGGATAAACCAGAAAACTCTCTGATCACAGTACTGATTAATTAACTTGTAGGGTTTATGGGAAGGAGGTAGACAGATCAGGAAGCTAGCTAGTTGAGCTTTTATCGATGGAGAAACACTGGATTTATATAAAAGTTCACAGCATAGTGGCACATCAAAAAGTTGTAACCTGGAATTATCATTATTGTTTTTCTCAAACTAGTTGCTTTTTGTCTGTCTTGTGCTGGAGGCATGGGGGACCCACCCAACTAAATTTTGCGCCTTATCTTTCATTATTGTCGTACGTGTGTTATGTTTTTATATTGTTAGTGCTCTGTGCCAGATAGCTCAGGAAATATCTGATATATAATTCTATCAGTGATCATCCCAGAGATGTGGCTCATCATCATATTAGCTCAACTTCAACCTGCACGCACTAACCAAAAAGGAAAGTACACGTGTGTGTGTGTGCGCGTGTATGTAGGTGAAACTAGCTAGTTTGAAACGTGGATTTGCTTCAAACACAGAACGAAGAAGCAAGTTTGTGCATAGTACCTTTGGCTTTGAATATATTGAGTTTAGGGTTAGAATTACTTTGCCTGAAATGCTTCTTTTGGTCCATAATATAAAAGTTAATTTGGCTTTTAATTTGATTCTAAATATAAAACCACAGTCCTCTTTGTCTTTATATTTATCCATTTTTCTAAAGTAGTTCTTATAGTAATTACACATATTAAACATTCTATCAAATGGTAGTTTTAGCTAATAGACATGATTAACAAGGGTATTCTAGGAAAGACAACACATATTTATTACAAATAACTAACTTAATAATCTTTTTAAATTAGTCCACTGGGTTTTATATTAAGGACCGAAGATAATATAAGTGAAGAAAAACCGAACACATTAACAAGGTTATAATGGATTCTTTGGCTTTTACATTAGGCCAAGCAAATGTAGCTTAATTTGTGGATATTAAAAAAAATTAGATTGTAACAAATATGTTATAATTTCCCTCTAAATTATATATATTGAAACTACCTGTCAATGTAGAGTCTTCTTAATATGTGCAATTAGAAGGGACATACTTTGAGTAAAAAAAAATGTAAATTTAAAAAGTAAAGTAAATTGAGGTATTATATTTAAAAGAATATGTTATCAATCAAATTTAGCACATATATATTGCTATGATATAATCTTCAAATGTAAGGGAACTATTTCACTTGGACACGTGACATGCACATAATGATGGCTAACACGGCAAAGATGATTTTCATTTTTCAAGTGTTACTTAAACATGACTATACGACTAATCAGCTTACAACTATACGCAGATTTCCCTTTTTCTTTGTTCTTTGTACTATTTTATAGGCAGAGAAGATTATGTATATATAGCAGAGAAGATGATATATATATATATATATATATATATATAACGCCATATATATATATATAGCAATTATTTGGACTCCACAAACTAACCAATGGCTCTTTCTAAGTGATTATGAGTGTTAATTAGTGAGATATATATATATATATCATAAAGCAAAAGCATGCACTTTAAGAAAGAGTATAGTCGCGTTTGTTTCAAGAATCTTGGCAACTTAAAAACAGTTCAATGCACCATAATAAGGCTTTTCTTTTTTCTTTTTTTTTTTTTTGCTTTTTGAGTAAATGGATGAAAACGGGGAGATGAAACAACATAGTATTAGGTTAATTAATTAATTATTTTGGTGTGTTTGAGAATTAATTAATTAATTAATGAAGAAATGAAAAATGGGAAGCAAATTAAAGAGGAAATAAAGGTTATTTATTGAGCCGACAAGTAATGGTGGGAAACGCCGGAATGCATGCAATGCTCGAGACTTTGTTTCTTGTCCTTCCTTTTAACCTACACCTTTTTACCTTAATATCCCCCCATTCCTTTTCACTCACTTTATTAGCTTTTCTTTTCTCCTCTAAACACTCCACATAATATAATATAATATAATTGTTTTAAATAAATACATCCAAAGGTATTGATCCTAGTGAAATGCTTATGGCTGCTTCAACACAAAGTTTTTGGTTTGAATATATGTGTGTGTGTAAATGCAAGGAACCTAATTTGGAAGAGGTAACTATCCATTTGGGCTTAACCTAATAATACTGAATATCAGATGTTATAAAAAGATAGTCTCTTCTGCTCTAAATATAAGAACTATATAACTAATTTACTAATATTACGGAGATTACTTTAGTATGTTTTTTTTGATAAAAATATGTATTGGTCTTTTTGAAATATCCCTTTTGCTAATCATCATTTGCATCAAAATTAACCTCTATGATAAAATAATGGGGATAGTTTGAAAAAAGAATATTTTTTTTTTTTGGGAGATAAAATGAATTGAGATATTATATTTAAGATTAAAGTAAATTCATCAACTAGCTAACATGTTTAAAATCAGATGGAATATACATATATGATATTAAAAAAAAAACCCTAACAAACTTGACTATTGATGAGTTTTGAACCGTATATGTGACTAATTTGTTCAAAAACTCCTTATGAATAAAGAACCCATACTAGTTATTTATTAATCCTGATTGTATATCTATATATTAATTATACCTCAGATCTCTTACATTCATATTATTAATTCTTCTTCTTCTTCTTGCATGGTCAATTGAAAAAAGCGATAAATTAAAGAAAATACTTGAGGCTGTAGATAACGATTAAGGGGGTAAATTTTTTCCTTATGACAAAAAGAGACATTTGGTGTATCTCATGTCTTTGGTATGGTTATTAATTATATTGGAATTAGATAATTTAAGATCACTAGAGACTCGACAATAATAGGAGATCATTTTCTTATATCAACCTGATAAATTTAATATATTTTTCCCATGGTAGTTACTAGAAAAGTTAAACCCAAATAAGATAAAGAAAATTAAATTATAATCTCCTCTCTTGCTAGCTTAGATAATTTATGGGTTATTTTTATTTTATTAAAGAGAATGTTAGGTATAATGGATGTGCTAAAAGGAAACACAGAAGTTAAAAGTTTGTGTGGTGTCTTAAGGCAGTGTTCCGTGTTACCTGAGAGTTTGCTTATTACGTCAGGTAATAATAATTTATTAGGTTCACTTTTTTTGTATTATTAGTGTTGGACTTGGTGCAAATTATTGCTTTTGTAAATTTTAAAAGAGTACATTATTAATTTACTTTTTTGGCTTTTTAAAGATGAAGTGCGTGGATTGAGATTTTTTAAAAATAATTTTAACTTTCAAGAATATAATCTTTTCACAAAAGTAATCAACCAAAAAATGAATGGTATAGGTAGAAAGAGGCTATGGTACTCCACGAAAAAAAATAATAATTTTTCAACAGAAATCTCTTTATAAAAGTATTCAACCTGAATAGCCAAGCTTAACCTATATAATTTAGGATAAATTATTCTGTCACATATTTTATAAAAGATAAGGGGGTCAAATTATATAAAATTTGGACGCATACGCATTAAGCAAAAGAGCCTTTATAAGTCTGGTTAGAAACTGCTTTATTTTCTTGATAAGAATATTACTTCCATCTTTGTCTCTTCTACTTAAGGCATTCCAGGCCCCTGGGCAATCATAATGCTCTTCAAAGATAACACAATTTCCTAATCTTTGTGTCACTAAGTGTGTGCGCATTTGTGTGTGAGAGAGTCTTAATGTCCTTTTAACACACTTTAAATTCATTTCAGGGTTGATCTCAAATTTGAACCATTCACATTAAATTTGGATGGTTTATATTTGATTTGATTTAATTGTTATGCTTTAATATTTTAGAAAATTGCAAATAAAGACTCCCAATATATAAAATTGTGATTTGAGACCCTGAATTTGAAAAATAGCAAATAAGGACCAAGTCTTACTTTTACAAATATAAAATGTGGGTGAAATGTCTACAATGCCCCTTAGCCAAATTGTGACTTGGTATACTGAAGTTGTCATTCGCTAAAGTAAACTTGTTATTTCCCATGGTTAGCTCGTCATTTGACATACCCTCAGCCAAGTTGTGATTTGATCTACTGAAATTGTCATTCGCTAAAGTAAACTTGTCATTTCCTATAGTCAACTTGTCATTTGACTGAGAGGCATTTCAGACAATTCACCACGATTTCATATTTGCAAAAGTAGGACCGGTTCCTTATTTGCTATTTTCCAAATTGAGAGTCCTAAATCGTAATTTTACATATTAGGGGATCTTTATTTGTAATTTTTCCTTAATATTTTACTATTTTAGTGGTGTAATTGTTTGCTAGTAATCGCTACTTTGTTCTAGTCATTCGTGATTAAACTTCTAAATTACACTTGAATATTTGTAAATATAATGGTCACTCACTGAGATACTATCGTCCTTTGCTGGTCCCAGTTATCATTGTTATTTGCTATATGTTGTTCTAATGTCCTTCATTATATGAAACTTGTGATTGAAGCAACAAGTATTTGCGAAAATAGTGGTCACTTGCTTAGATAATAGTGATTTTTTATTCACCATACTATTCTAGTAATTTCAGATTGTTACCTCGTGTACTAGTTTGCACTATATATGATTGAAAAGTTTTAGTGGCCAAATGGTTGTGCATATATTTGGGAATTAACTAAAAGGCAGATCAAATTCCACTTTGATCATAGGGAAAGAAGTTCCAAGAGGAAGAAAGATAAGACTATATTAACATGCAGCCCAATAACGAGTTGCAGTTGTTCATAAGAGTGCTATAGTTTGATACTGCAACAATTTGATCCACACTGCAGCTCCATTGAACGGTTTATCTAGAGTTTTACATTTTCACTTTGTGTCATCCTTGAGCTCCTTACATCACTGAATTAACTACGAAGTATACAAAACACGACACAACAAACATGTACTGTTCAAATACAATTCATGCCATATCTTTATACAAGTGTCGGACGGGTATCGGGCATCTACTATAACTCTGATCTTGAAGTATCAGTTCTCCACAAATCAGCAAGTATGCATTTGGAGTAGATGGGCCTAACTGCTGGCAGCTGAATTTGCATGCTCCAATTCCTTTTCAAGCTCATCAAAATCCCACCCACCAACTTCCTCTGTTGATAAGTCTTGGTCAAGCTTTCCAGAGTCAGATTCTAGTTCGCTCAATTCAGCTTCATGATTCAGCGGCTGATCAGTCCTGGCTGCAGCTGATTTTGGCTCTTCATCGTTCTGTGTCTCTGAAGGCTCAGTAACTTGAGCTGTCGCTAATGTGCTGCCTTGTTTCCTTTGAGATGAGACTTCGGCCTCGCCACCGCGGCTCTCAATTTCTAAATAGGGCCTCTCGATAGAATCAAATTGTGTCTGTAACTTTTGGATAGCATCAAAAAGCTCTCTAACATGTTCATCGTTCCTGCGTCACAGAGCACAATATTCAATTGGCTACATTATATTGTTCATCTCATGAGTTGCACTCAATTTTCAATTTGGCTCATAGTTTCAAGTGAGTTATCAGATTTTGTCAATGCAATTGAACATGTCTATCTTCGATGTCCCAAATCTATCTTAGATGTCCCAAATGTGCGAGGTTCAAGCCAACAAGAAAAAGGATAAATGACGTGAAATCCAGTCAAGTATATGAAATATAACGCCCACCTCAGTGCGTGAGTTGGCATGGTTGATACACAACGAAAAACACCGGGATGGCACATCCTCATCAGTATAATTTAACAACCCATTGATGAAATTTTATCACTTAGTGTTAAAAATTGAAAAATATTAATAAAGCAGTAGTCCCAATTATCAACTAATAAATTATAGAAACCAAGATGAAAATTGAGTGAGATTTTGGTGACTTGCAGGGTAATTCAACACATTCAATTTTTGGATAGTTAAATGGTCAAAATTTATGGAGTTTAGCTGGGGTTGAATGGGCATGCCCAAAGCACCCCTACTGTAGATGAAGTTATATTGCAATCTCTTGTATATTCCTAACAGACAAAAAGATCCTGGTTAACGTAAAATCCCACATCAGCCTTATTTCAAACTCAAAAAGTAATCCACAAGTTTTAATGAGGAAACATAAGATCAAACACACAAAGCAAAACCTGGAACTTTTCTCCTGTTGAGCCTCAAAATATCGTTTCATGCTATCCACTACACTGAAGGTGGTTATAATCTGAAATAAAGGGAGAAAACCATCATTAAATAAAAATATATTAATGCACTATTTCTTTCCCTTTGTAGCCCATCAAACTCGTATCAATCAGACAGGAGGCAATTTCAACAGAACTTCAAATCAAACAATACCAAACAGACAAAAGTGAATTTGCACAAAAATTTAATATGCAACACTGCGAGTGATGTTTAAGAAGCGTAGGGTGTAGTCATAAACAGACAGCATCAAAAGTAGCCACCAAGCCAACATCACGGTGAAAAAATAGGAAATACATTCACTTTTAATGGCGAAGAATTGATGGTATGAAGACTATAGGCAGAAGGGAATTGAGAAAGAAATTCATTCAAGATTCATCAACAGCCCATACCTTTTCATCTGAACACATATACCAGCACTGAATAAAAGAAAGACAGTCCCAAATACATACTTGACCTTCTTACAACTTCTTACTTAACAGCCAAGCCATATTACTAACAACTACCCAATCCCTCATATCGATTCCAACTTGTAACAACAGATAAGGAAGGCCATGGCCCATGGATGGATAAGCCAATTACTTTTAGGTGTACCGTGGGGGAAACATAATTTCCGAAATACTTAGAAAACTACATAAAAAATATTTGGGTAGTGTTGAACAAGAGCCTCAATTTACTATAGGAAGAAGCAAAAGCTCTGAGTGAGTCCAGGTTCTATTAAATGGCAAATTTTGGGGATTTTCTAGTTGGCTGTCACGGGTGAGAGAGTGAACATGAGTATAACGCATGAGATGCTGTATAAAGAGGCAGAGAAGATTTTGGTTGGTTTCTGGGAGAGCCTATGCCTCTTGAACACAGAGCTGTGATGTGTCTGTTTATGACTAGTGTATTCCTCCATTAAACCTACACTTTGGAGAGATTTGCGATTCAATAATACAACTCTGGAACTGATTTCATCATTTAGGCATCTAGAAAATTAAGAAACAGCATTATGACATACCAAACACATAAAATCGCACATCTTATAAATAGGCTCCATAAGTATCTGGGAAATTTGGCCTTCAGCTTTTGAGGAATTTGATAGAGTTTTACATAGGCTATCAAAAGCATAACACAACCCTCCTCCGCTATGATAGGAACCGGGGGCCTTTACTAGTTTATACTTCAGTGAACTATTATGTTTTATGCGTTTTATGTTTTATTATGTGTCTTGTATTAATTGTGACAAGTGTCCAGCGTTGGTTACATCATTGTTAGCTTTATATGGATGAGATAAGGTAGTTATTTTCAGTTTATGTACCATACTATAAATATCATACATGTATTCTGCCAAAACGGGAGATGAATGAAAAGCATTATTCGGTTTGCCTTAAACTTCCTCTTCTAAAATTTCAATTCTGGTTCTAGGCTCTCTCTCTCCCCTCCCTTATCTTTCTCTTTCTCTTTCTCTTCTCCTCTCCTTCCCTTTCTTTCTGTCCTAACTCTCAAGATCTAACACTCTACGCAAGCTTGGGACTGACTATAAAACATAGGCAAGGTTCCAACGCATGCCTTACTGTGGAAGTCAGCCGAACTTTGATACAAAATTGATGGAACCTCAAGTAAACATCATATTACTTATGTATTTATGGGACTGCAATTCCCTTTAACAGTGATAGGAAGCAGAATTTACAAGCTCTGATGGTTATGGAGGTAGAAGAAAGAAACAAGATGGGTAAAAAGGAAGCAAGCTCTCTCGCTTTCAAGAGGCCTGAATCTCTCCGCAACATACCGAATACCACATTAGAACATCCATACCTTGGTTTCGTAAGCCAAATATTCCTCCTCAAGACTTTTCCTTGGACTCAGATTCGAATCCTCATTATCTGTATGGGATGGCATCCCTGACCTGCTACCTCAGGTGAAAGAAATTAAGAAAGTAGATAAATATATACAGAGACACATACAAATTTATTTAACTTTCAAAGTACTTCATAAAGATAACTCAGAAAGATTAGCGAGAATATGACATGGCCGAGCATGCAGTAGATTCAAAGACAAAAAGGACCTTACCCATGACTTAAATTTTTTAGGTTCTCCACGAAAGAACCAATACGGCTGACCCAAGGCTCCAATTCTTTCTGTGCATGACACAGAAGATTGTATTACAAAAGGGTGAGAAGCTGTGAAGGGTATAAATATATGGCATAATACATCCTTTTTCTGCGTCTGAGTCGGTAAACCAAAAGCAATACCTTGTAAGAAGTAAGAAGTTGAATGGCCAAGTTTACGAAGTATTCCTGGTGCTTCTCCAGCTCACCACTTTAAATATTAAGAATTAGAGGAAGTATCACTTTGTCAATTATCAGAAGCAAATAAAGGCAGAATTATTATGTTGAAAGATATCATATCATTCTCTAATGCAGTAAGTCTAAATACTTACTTGACCTGCTTCTCATGAATTTCTGCATTTGATCGCTGGAGATCCCAAGTATCTTCAAGAAACCTAATCCAGATGTTCAGAACATCTGCTTCTACCTTACATGAGGTAATAGATTTTGAAAGTTCATCTTCCTGTAAATAAAAGGTTTGAATCAATATCTCCAACATCTTGATGGTGAAAGCAACACTGCATTAAGGCAAAACTAAGCATGATTACACAGTATCCAACAACAGATAGACAAAGAAAAAGATTTATGCCTTTGTTTTCAAATGTTCAATAATCTGATTATTTGCCTCCTCAAATTGGTCCTTCTCCTCTCTTGCATCCGATAATCGTGCTTGAGCAGCAGCCAAAGAAGTATTAACCTACAGATAGGCCACACTTCAATTATTTAATTTAAGGAAAACTTCGTCAAACCATATTAAATCCTAAACATGTTTACACACAGATGAAAGGTTTCCTTACAAAGATGCGTAATCATTTTATGTTGCTAGAAGAAACATCTTATAAGGTCCATACGAATAAGAAGTTAACAAATAAACAACCCTATAGAGAATATGAAGATCAGACGAATTTCAGTATCCCAACACGAATTTTAGTCCATGCTTCTGCTATGCCTAAGTTATGGTTAAAGTAAGCTGTGAAAGCAAAGAGTTCTGAATCCAAGTTACTCTGGAGTAAAGGAGCATACTCCGTGGTAATACAGAAATGTAAACTATTAGTTGAGAAGTGAAGCCAAAGAGCTCAATTGAAAATTTAATTGCATCCCATAAAATGTCATAATCAGAAACATATTTGTGTGCCAGTAATGTGAAAATCTTTCATAAGTGAAGTTCCAATATTTATAAGCTGAGTTCTCATCATGGAAGAACCATTTTTATAAACAGATAAATAATTATAGCAAAGAAGACCAAAAAAGGTAGCAATCAATATTATAAGAATGATATATGCCATGCTTGCATCTCTGCATATATAACACAATAACTTAAGCCATGGTCTTCAGAGATGCACACTTAATATCAGCCTTTTGGTGGGTTCCGCAGCTGCCTCAGTCTGAAATTGTGGTCTGCAATGCCCACTCCAACCAAAAAAAAAAAAAACCTAAAAAAGCACAGAAAGATGACTGATAGTGATACCTTTTTCAATTCAGCTTCAAGATCATCTTTTTTCCGTTGGAGCTCTAATATCTCAGCAACTATTTCCTGAAAACAAGTAGTAAAATAAACTGAACAACACAGCCATTACACAATAACACTGCTATTAAAGGTTAAGATGGAATCACAGCTTGACAAAAGGGTATAATACTCTAAATTCAGACCCTATTCTACCAAAGGCAACACAGAGAAGTCAAAATACTTCTGAAGTGGAATATATGAACATAGACACCTCACAAGACACACGAAAGTAGCAACAGAGTACTTAAACATGCCTCAGCACCATGGTTATACAAGCATGATAAAACTAACAACATCTAAAATGGATGCACAGAAGCAGAAATGAGAACATGGATAAGACAAATGATAGCTTTCAATAGGCTAACTCTCTCCCAGGTCTTTTTCCAGAAAATCCCTCCTCCCTTTTCTTCCCTGTTCCCCTTCCTCCAAATGCTGTTTTTACAGCATCATCTCAGCTGCCACTGTCACTTCAACATCCTAAAATCCATCTTTTGCTCTTATGCATTCTATATTCTTTGAGTGAAAACCTAAGGCTGCATTTGGTGCGCTGGAATTAGGATGAAAGAAACAGAATCAGAAATGAATTCCTCCTTTATGCATGTTTGGTATGTCTTAATCATGATTCTCATGAAATCTGGTTCCATCAAAAGTCCCAGAATTGGACTCCATGCCCTAACCCACGGAATTGATTAAATTCCATAGATTCAGTCACTTAGTTGCATTTTACCCTCTCCCTTGCATCTGCATGGCCTTTGACTTCTCCTCCTCTTGTCGACTCCTCCCCCTTCCTCCATCTCCAACAGCCGATGTGAGTTGCCCCCAGGCCCTTCAACTCCTCCCTCTCCAATCAACTCTTCCAATGACATCCAGATTGCAAGAGGAGAAGCTCAAGATCTGGAGAACCCTGCGACTGAGGAGCTCATTAGATCTCATCTTTCTAGCTATTGCTCTGTGGAATAGCTAGTAGAAAGGTGGCAAATGGGTTCCTTATTAATGTCATATCCTATAAACATTTTTTTATATTATATGACTGAGTTTCTTTTCAATTCATTATTTTTCTAACAATAAAAAATGTTTTCATGTACCTACATGCTATTTCACTGGCCATTTATTTTCATTTTGTGTATAATTTATGCTGCATTTTAACATTGCCATGCAATAACATCAGGTACCATAGATCGCCGAGCACTTTTTGCAAGCATGTGCCCTGCATAATTGAAGACTACAGATAAAGGCAAAGGGCGAGAATACACTACCTTTTCTTTTCCATTAGCTTCAATGGCTTTGGCCTCACGAACTTTTAATGCCTCCTCTTTTTGTAGTCTGCCAAATTATAAAGGGCCAAAAAATTTGTAAAGGATCAAACACATCTGAAGGAAACTATGAACCAATGAGAAACTAAATACTTTTTTATTGATATTTATTTCACGCAATCTTCAACGTATGAAATGCAAAGCACTGAAAGGGTAATCATAGGGTAGTTTATATTCAACATTGGACTTCAGATTATCTACATGAATAAATTCTAAGAGATTCACATCTGAATTCTGGGTATCTTTCCTGCAGTTTTTTGAAGTTTCCAAGAAATAAAAAGAAAAACAGTATTATAGATTATTTCCTTATCCACTTTTTAAACTATAATCCAAAACTATTTTACTTGTTAGATGACCCCAACCAAAAAAAAAAAAAAAATCATTAGAATGCTTACATGAAAGTATCAAACTTCTCTTAGTTCCAGCTTGGAATGAAATTTACTCATCAAGAACTGAAAAGGAGATATTACTAAATTTTAAAGCAAAATGAGATGCTTTCACGAAATACGCTCTCTCTCTCTCACATAACAACGAAATACAGTTTCTACCTTAAGCATAAACATGATTTCACAAAGAACTGATAAATAACATGAAATGGAGAACTTAAAACCGAATTCCATGATTTGATTTTCTACCTGTTATCTGAAAGACGTTTTTCAGCTTTTGCAGCAGAGCTGGCGAGAGATTCCAACAACACCTTCAACTTGTCAATCTATTTGTAAAAATGACAGTAGTGGTTTAGATAGAATTTCAAATAAAATATCAAACCGTGTTCACTAATTAATTCCTCAACAATAGAACCTATCAAACTGCATTTAGCTAGAATTTCAACAAATGCAGTTGGAGCCAAAAATGCAGGTTCTGAATAATCCCAAATCATGTTGCTCTACCCTCTTCAAAGAAAGAATTATACCTTTTGGGCATGAATCTCTGGATATTTTCCCATATTTAGAACTTTTTTCTTCAGTAATAGTTCTTCAAGTCTGGAACAAATTCTAATTTGTGAAAGAGCGACTTTTGAAGCCTGCAAAATGGTTCCATGGTCATACTTCATTTGATAAATTTAAAAAATAAAAAGTTATATGGTACAAGAGAAAGTGCCCCAGTCGCTTCAAAGTTAAAAACCTTTACTTTCGTCCGACTGATCTTGCATGTGCCTTTTTCTTTTTGAAACTCTCCCACAAAGTTCCAAATAGATCTTTATGGGTTCATGATGGTTTATATTCTAAGAAATACATATTCAAGGAAAAAGGTAGCCAAGGACCAGAAGTTTTATGCTATAGCGTGGTAAAAATAAAATGCTCAATAAAAATATTGTAGAGCGAAAAAAACAAGGGCACCACTTGAGCTACACTGAGAAGATAGGGGTAGGTGAGGATAATAAAGGGGCAAAAAACAAGAATTCAAGAGCCAACAACCTTAAATCAAGCAACAAGTCTTTTTTGAGACAAAAGGTGGAAATTGAGATCATAGGATTCTGATCCATACAAAGCATGCAGCATGAGCTAATCATATTATCCCTTGTTCCTGGTAAGATTGATAGGCTAATTGAAGACTTGAATTGTGCCGCACAGAAGCATGTTTACATTAAAATATCTTAGTCATCTGGCAAACATCCTCCAGACCATCAAAGGCAATTGAAAGGGAAAACTATGATAGCCACGCACCTTTATTGTTTCTTCAGCTGCTTCATGCCCTTCACTTGAATATAACTCTGAAGTTTCCATCTGGATGAGCTTTCTCCTAAGATTAGAGGACTCATCATCTATTCTGCAGTTATGTAATACGATAAGATTGGACTTTAACTATATACTACTTCTCTCCAAAATTTAGATTTAATGTTACTGATACATGGGAATTCCTAATTCCCATGTATCAGTTACTGTAAATTTCCATCCAATGATATAAAAAATTGACACGCTTTCATCTAAATTTTACAGTTCTGGCCTTGATTATTATAAGCCACGTTTTGCTCCTAAATCAACCACAACCCCCTACATAAAACGTAAGCCCAATTTTAGATCCATCTAAGCTCCAGTCTCAAACTCTTGACAAGTGATAACCCTTACCACAGCCTTCTAAAATATTGATTTCTCACTGTCTTAATATGTCAAAGCCAGCCACAGTCTCATCACAATTAACGTGTCACCATCAATAACAGAGGCATCTAACATCTCCATTAAACCCATGTTGGGTTACATGCCAGAGAACCTGGGGATGAGTTGAGTGCAAGCACATAATATTCATTTAAGATGGTTCAAAAATATTTACAGACCAAGTGGGCTTCATACATGTCTGATGTAAATCCAGGCCAGAAAAAGCAGGGGAGAAAGAGAAAGCTGAAGATGATGGGAGGAAAAGAGGAAGGAGGAAAGCAAATGGTTCAAAAAAATGACAAGCAATTGCTGAGGGGGCTATTTATATTTTATAGGGACCCCACAACAAGAAAATAAAACAAACAAGAATAAGAAAAATAAATAAAACAGAAAATATTTCTAAGTTTCTAATTATCTAGAATTTCCTACGCCTGGTAAGTTTTCAATTTCCCAAATATTCTCTTCATGTTCTCCAGTATGTTCGTTTAAATGTCTGCATTTGGTCCTAACGATCTCTCGTTCCTTTCTTGACTATACCCTTTCATTTTTCACACCAATTTTTTTTTTCGCTTTCAGAAGGAGCTCTGGGGATTTCCAAATCTTTCTTGTACAAACTGTTAAAAATATACAGGTATTAGTAGCAATATGAAAAGTTTGCTCTCTCAGTCCCTCCAGACACAATCCTGGCCTCATAAATATTTAGTTGGAAGGTTGTTATTTCTAAATGAGACAAAATATATATATATATATTGACAAACTCGTTAGTGCACGCCAAGCTCAAGATAGTAGCATGCTGTGATTGTTGGAATGGGAAAAATGGAACAGGAATAAAATCATCAAGTCCACCATGTTTGTTAATGGCCAAAATAAATTAAAATTGTAATTTTAGTCAATAAACTTCTTGTACCAGCTTAAGCATATTTTACATTCGATCACAATTATACACAAGCTGGTGGCAGCGGAGAAGCAAGGAATGGAGGGAATCACTGCTTGTCATCCAAGTCCCCAGAAAAATCTAGAGCTACATGTCTTTCAAGTCTCCTGACATTTCCTAGGGGAGCCTTATATTTATTAACATATAGAAAACTCCTTTAATTAAAGTAAGAAAAGGCTAAAAGCTTCAAGTCAACCTATTTTCAGACTACATCAACAATCAACAAACTCTTCAATTTAAATATCAGATCAAACCTAAAATGTGTATTTACCACAGACAAGGTATGAAGAAAGTTCCAAGAAAACTCATTGATTCGTACTGACCTTGCAATATCAAAATTGATTTTCAACCCAGTAATGGCATCTTGTGCAAACTGAAGCAACTCCTCGCGCTTCATCTGTATTAGAAGCACAATTCCCATAGTTACAAAGCCAATAGCTATTAATCGGTAAACTGCACTACACCTACAGGCACAGAACATAAGTAAGACCCTCTGAAATGCCAACATGGAATTTCATCAAATTCCCTTTCTTTCATGATACAGAACTTTCTAATGTTAAATAAGTAGTGAGGTACGAATGGGAATTTTCTCCTCCAGGAACTGGGGTAATGTTCCTAGTTGAAAAACTTTCTCCTCCAAAATCCCCAAACTGGGGTAACTTCAGAACATAGAGTAGGGAGGACTTTGGAGGATTTGTAAAAGTTAGCTGAAAATCCATCATTATCTTCTTGCCCTCACAAATAACTCCCAAAGGTTTTAATGACATCTTGATGGAAGATTGAAGACTATTACTGGGAGTAGGAAACCCTAGAATCTCATATTGATTTAATGTTATGTTTTAGATTATTAGAATTTATCTAAGGATTGGGTTGTTGACAGAGCACGATGGCGTCGTGTGATTCATGTAGCCGACCCCACCTAGTGGGATAAGGCTTGTTGTTTGTTTGTTGTTTTGTTTGTTTTAGATTATTAGGATTTCTTGTTTTTCAGATTTGATTTGGATTAAGATTTCATTTGAATAAAAGTAATCTCTTAGATTACTGGGGTCAACTTTTATTTAAATATTGTGATTTGCTTGAACTTGTAGAAAGGGGGAGTTGAAAATGTTTGTATATTTCATTGCAGCTAATCAAGAGATATATAGTCAGCCAATCAATTAGAGCCAAAAGAATAGGGCTACAAAGAGACACGGGGGATCAAAAGGAATCATAAACAATTCTAACAGATAAATGTATACGTTTACATACTTATATATATATAGGTCTCCACACTCCTCTTTAAGTTGGAACATAGATGTAAATCATGTCCAACTTCCCTACAAAATACTCAACATCTGCAATCTCGAGCAAGTCCTTTGGTGAGAATATCTGCAATCTTCTCTCTTAAAGGAATGTAAGTTAAGCGAATGATACTACCATCTATCTTTTCTTTGTTGAAATGTCTGTCTATTTATGGGAACATGATAGTATAAGATACCAAGTCCCATAATAAGTAAAATGGAATGCTCAATGGGATATTTAAGTAGATTGGTTCTCCCACCTCAACAGCTAGCTTTTGGGGTAGGGTTCTCTAATCCCACTTAGGTACCCATCAATTGGCATTAGAGCCAAGCTGTCGGCGACTTCGTAGAGGGCCACCCATGGAGGGTTTTGACAGCTAGGATGTCGAGTGAAGTGCCATAGAGCGTAGCCGTTGAGACGTCGGCTTTCCATGGGGGCCAATTGATGGGGACTTGGTAGTATGGGATACCAAGTCCCATATTAAATAGAATGGGATGCTCAGTGGGGTATTTAAGTGGGTTGGTTCTCCTACCTTGACAGCTAGCTTTTCAGGTAGGGTTCCCCAATCTCACGCAGGTACCCATCACTATCCTAACATAGTTTCCCCCCCCCCCCCTTCCTCGTTGAACAAAGAGACTCAACATGCGTAGTTCTGCCATGCTAGACAGGATTAAGTAAGATGTTGATGGCCGCCATGCTATCTAAATAAAGTTTAATTGGCAAATACACGTGCTCTTCTTCAGTTCTTTAAGGGCCTTCCTCACTCATCCCCAAACACACCATGTGACAAGTTAGTTACTAGAGGATATATTCTCCCTTTTGCCCCTACCTATAGCTCATCACTATCTTTATCTATTTTGGCCACTCCCCTCTTTTTTCATATCTTTTCATAAACATTCCCCCCTTTGGGATAATTAGCATCACATCCATTAAAAACCATATCATTGAATAAAATATAAAAGAGAAATTTCACATATTAACCTCTAACTTTCATGCTCGGTAGCCAGTAGGCCATGTCCCTCATCATTTTACCCTTTTAATTTTCCTCTCTCAATTAATACCATCATTCAATAACTCATGCTTCTCCAATAAGTTTAAAAATTGTGGAGATCGAAGATGTATTTTTGTTGCCCATCCGAAAATGTTTGTGGTGTATAATATTACATATTTAATATATCTTGAAAATCAAAACTCAAAAGCCACTAAGGAAAATGCTAGTCCAGAACTTAAAAATTTTTTGCATGGTTGAAATTTTAAAATTTGAATGTAAGCTACCTCCAAAGATCCCACCAACTCAATAAAACATGGGAAACTTTGTGCTGTCCTTATGTCAAGATATGAATAGAGTCATTCATCCTTACCAATAATTCTTCTTGATAGTTCAAAAATGTTATTGCCAGATTCTGAATGCTTCTAACTATGGCACTATGAGCATCTTTTCCCCCAGCAAGACAAAGCCTACAGATTGTTGTACGGAATATTGAATGATGAATAGCAGCAATAGGGATAATATAGTATGCTTCCTCACAAAACATGTAGATTTCAACGAAGATGAAGATGAAGATGAAACTAGCTGACCTAAAAAAGTTATTTTCAAAAATAAAATTTGGTCCTTTAAGTAACACAAACATGCCCCAAATCAAGGAGCTAGTAAACCTTTGTATTTTCAAAGTCAAAGAAGAAATTATAAGAGAAAAGGAATAAGACAAACCTAATATTTTATCAAACTATGCGATATGCCTCAGATTACTAGACATGCAAGAGAAATAGAAAAGCCATGAAACTCACCTGAAGATCTCTAGGAGAACAGAAACCTCTTCCTCATTAGGAACTTCAAGAATCTGAGGCATAGAAAAGAGTTAACCCTGAAGTTAACCTCCATAATCAGCAATTACAAAATGATTTAGACTTGCACAGGAAGACATTCTTCTTCCATTTTTATGACACCATCATATTGATGAATCTGGAGTACGACTGTAAGAATAAGACATATTCAATTCAATCAAATTGTTCATCGCGGCAATGTGTAAGAAAATCAATAAACTCTCAAAAAGAACTAAAGTGATTAAATAAAAACCATTTTGGATTTTGATGTATTTAGTTTCTTTCAATAAGATTGAATTTGTAATGTATAATAATCTAAGCCTCGATTTCAAATCATTCAAACAGTTTAGTTAACAGGGTAGTTTCACACTGACTGGCTTTTAGCAGACACAAAAACAAGACGGCTAATTTGAAGAGTACCAGAAAGCTGGACCTCTTTCTAGCTTGTCCTCATGTTTGACCCCGTTGTTGGGTTACATTTTTGTACATTTGCTAAGGGGAAAGAGGGACTGCATGAGGTTTTGTTGCTTGGGCTGGAGAGATCAAGGTTTCTCTCCTGCAGGCCATGGATGATACAATTCTTATAGTTCTTGAGGATAGGCAAAATTCAAGAAAGTTATTTCCTTCTTTTTAAAAAAAATAGAAATTAAGAAAGTAACTTCTGTGTTGACGTTTGCAAGTCCGTGTCTGGCCTCCATATTAACCATTCTAACAGTGGGTTGTCATTTCACAAGGATGAAGGAGCTCAGATCATTAGGTAGGCGAAATGGCCCTAACATTAATGAGTAAGCACATAATACACATTAAACCATATCCATGAACAGATCTTAAGAAAGTGGCTGGATAGCACCATTCTACCAGGAAGGGTCAAAAAACTCTCTTAAAATATGGAAAAGAGAAACTTCAAGAATCAGGAAAGTTACAAAATGTTACTCTCCATTTTTTTGAGGACATAGGAACATATAAGGTGATAATCAACCATTTTGCATAATTTTACAACTCAGCACAATTTTACACAAATAGCTGAGAGTCACATCGTTATACATACCATTGATAATATAATACCCTCCAAAGAATGACTTCGAATGAAAACATCACGGAAATTTAATGGTTCACCTCCAACATCAGCATCATAATACAAAACCTGATCAATAGCATTAATAGAACAATCACAAAGAGCTCATACAAAAGGATACTTTTATAATCAATATTAAAAAAAATACATCAAAAAAATCAAAACCATCCATATCAATTACAAGAAATCATTATGCATATAATGATCCTTCACCAATTAGGAATCACTAATTATGCATAATGATAATCAAAGTATCTTCTAATTTGATGGCATAGAAAATAGGATTCAATTGAAACTCTGATACAACCCATAAAAGTATCATTTCGTTGAGTTCTTTCCCTCTGCAATACCTTCAAATAGGAGAATGTATATTGGAGAACTCAGGGAAACCTCTTCCCAACCCAGTCTTTGCAACATATTTCTAGACTTCTATTATGTATTGAATTATGGAGTTACCTCATTGTATTTGTCTCCCCCCCCCCCCCCCCAAAAAAAAAGCGATCATTTGTTGAGATCCGTTTAAAGGCCTTTGCTGTAGAATTGACAGACTGTTTTTCACATTAAGACTACCGATCCTCTTTTTTTATATTCTGTCTCTTTCTCCTCTTCCCATTATCTCCAACCCTTTTCTCTCTGGCCCCACATCAATGATTCACATATCTGAATTCTGCATGCTCAATTAGTCATTTACATTAATATTTTAACACTGAGCAGGTTCTTCCAGGGAACAAGTGCTGTGATCAAGACAAGACATCCAACAGACTCCATAAAATCGTAGTATGAACTCTAGAGTCTAAGAGTCAATCAGTCCGTATTTGGGGGAAAAATGAAAGAAGCCATGATTGATGTAATTTAGAAACAATACCATGAAGTTCATGGCAACAGAATACAACCGCTCCCACACAATACTGAAGAAAGAGAAAACCTATTCCTATTGAATGACAAAAAAGAAGCAAACTGTCAATGAATTCCATTATAGTGTAACACAAACACGTAAAGCTTTTGTGTAAACAACAGCACTATCAGGAATTAGGAAAAACAAGCAGTCTTAGAAAAGACTTCTAGGCTAGACTCTGTCTCAGCAAATTAGAAACTTTAGCATACCATGCTTTCAGACACCACATGATCATTAACACTCCAAAAGTCAGGTAAATTGAGGAGAGTGTAATAAGTAAAATTCAGTTAGATTAAAATAAATCATGCCTTGAATACAAAACTTTTATTTACCATAGATGGTTTCCTCAAATTCTCCTTTGCTTTGTCAACAGCAAAGTGCTTCTCAAGGGTCTTCTCTTTATCTTCATCCAAAGCAGTAGACATTTCCTCAACCTCTTTAAGCAAAACTAACCATCTTTTAAGCAATTGTACTCTTTCAGGGCCCTGATAGCAAATAGCAGCTTCTTCCAATCTCTCGACTGTCTTCTTAACACTTTTGAAATTTTGACCAGCCTGCAAGAAAACCCAAGATTTAGAGATCAAATTAACCAAAGCATCTAATATGACCTTCATGGTCAAATCATCTTGACATCAAAGAACATCAAATACTGTTGTGAATACGGCATTAAAATTAGAACTAGATAGTCCAGGTTTTATGGAATCTTCAGGCAGTTTGAGTATTTAATTTGCAATCCAAAGAACTTCTAAACTCCTTGCAAAATGTTGTCATAAAATGCTGGGAAACTACAACATGGGTAGAAAGAAGACTCGATCCTATTCCCTAAAAAGAATAAGAATACAAATGCCGAGAAACCTATCCAAGTGAAACTTCTAAAAGAATTAGGGATTTATTATTCCAAGAGCTTACTGTTGTTTAGGAATCTTAGTTAACCTTTATCAATATCTTAGAGCATATCTTATACTCAATGCATAGCTTCATATTACTATAAATTAAAAAACAATGTGTGTGAGAGTTCACTGTGCACAAGCCGCCTTATCTCTCATTGTTATCCTGAATGTGACAATTCATATCACAACAAGGGAAAATTAAACAGTGCGTTCCTCTGGGAGAACTGATAAGTAGGAAACACTATCGCAACCCCTCTGCTGGCTAGTTAAGAAAAATAGGATATTTCTGAGCAAACTAGCCTACTAACGGTGACTTCAGAGTCAAAACTTCCTTTGGAAAGCAAGTTGCCAAAATTGTAAACATCTCAATAAACGTTTAAGCGGCAAGCTGCCAAACTTGTAAACTATCCTTCTTGTATGTTATGAGCTTGAAGTTGTAGAGTGAGTGGCCAATCAACCAAACGAAGAAGAGGAAAACGAACAGTTAACCCGGTTAATAATATCACACTTTTTAAGAATTAATAATAGAACCCAATACTGCCCAAAATGTGGTTAACAAAAACATTTCTAATTGAAAATTAAACAAAGATAGCAAAACCTAATTTGAGAACAACGCCATGAGAAGAGAGCGAAAACAAAATTACTAAACACTACTCCCATGCATGAGTTAGTCCTCAAAATTAACAACTCAGTCAATTTGGCTTCCAAAATCACCAAATCACCTACACTACAACGAATTCGTCGTATCTATGGATGAATTCGGCATTTGCTAATTTTCGAAAGTAAAAGTAAAAGGGGGATAATAATTTACTATGTTTATTGTAAGAAAATCTAAGAATTAATGAAAATAATAAGAAAGACCAAAGAGATAGATTATAGGGCATTACAATGCGATCTTCCAGAACTTTAGCACCCTCGGCAACGGCTTGGCCGGCATGTTGAACGACGGAGTCAGCATAACTCACTACAGACCTCAGCCAGGACGACATTCGTTGGCAAGCTTTCTGATGGTAATTAACAAACTGTGAACCCAAGAAAAGGAGTAGGCGATGGATAAAGCAAATTATGGGGGTTGGAGAGTTGGGATTAATAAGAACAGTTAGAAAATGGGTAACTTGTTGACCTGTTGACTTCTGAGAATACAATCATAGAATATAAACAGAATGTCTATTGAAGGGATCAGGTAGTCAGAAACCAGCAAGAGGTTCGGCCTGAGATTGCGAGCAAAACTTGTGATGGCCACATTGGGCCCGGGCAATCCAGGTTTCACTTGGTTCCAAACACACAATGCAGGCTACGTTTGGAACCATGTAAATGCTATGCGAGATTCCAAACATGTTCTTGGTGGATGATATGCTGAGTTTTGTCGGAATGTTGGCTGAGGAAAAAAGATGCTGACTCGGACAAATCAATAATAGCAAACATACATTGAGTTCTAAATACAAAAATCTAATTAATAATACAATTTGTATCGTAAATTATATATTACCTCCGGTCCTAATTATAAAAGCCAGCTGACTAATTTGAGGAGATTAAGAAAGTAAGTTGAGTTAGTTATTTGTCCTAAATAGGTGTTGTCTTTCCTAAAATATCCTTATTAATCAAGTGTATTGACTAAAACTATCATTGTTAGAAAGGCTACTTTAGAAAAAAGTGTATAAATATGATAGACAAAGTGGATTGGGGTCTTATATTTAGAACCAAAATAAAAGTCAAATAGGGTCTTATATTAAGGACCGGATGTAGTATTATATTTAGGACCAAGGTAGTATATTTTAAGTGAATTAAGTTTTGAATTTGATATTAATTTTGATATTCTTCATTATATCAAGGGGTATAATATAAAATCAGCATGCATGAATCATGATATATACACATTGTGACTTATTCTATATTCTCTATGCACCATAGATATAAATCGTTAATATCCCGTCTAATTGCCGGCCAAAAAAGATATCTTGTCTAATTTAGTAAACACAAAATTCAAGAAAAATTTTATTAAAGGCCGCTGCGGCACCTTAATTTCCTTCCACCCCAAATAATTCTGAAACTTCACTGCAGTCTTTTGGGGCCAAAATAAAATTAACTTATGTAATAAAAAGACCTTACTGCCCCTTATAAACCCAAATTGAAGCTCACTCCCTCATCCAACCCTACTGCATCTTTCGTCTTCCGTCTTCACTGCTACCGCTAAAGTTGTATTGATCTCGTTATGCCTGTGGTTCTCATTTTCCTAATCTTCTCAGTCTATAACCATCATTCATGACTGCTTTATAGTGCTTCTATTACTCAATCTTTTTTTTTTTTTTAGGCATCTTCAAGATGTGAAGAATTTCTAGAGCTTCAAGAAACTTGTGCAGTTTCGGTCACTTGTTTTGGGAAAAAGTTTGTTGCTTATGCCATTAAGTTGTGCAACAACTGTGGAGCCCCTCTTCAAGTTTCTCAATCGATTTTGTCATTCCCTTCACCATTATCTCACCCCACTCTTACCTTCCGTCATGGTTCTTAAGTTTTTTTATGTTATGAATAACAAATATACAGTGTATTATCTAAAAAATGGTGATTTTGTGTTGCAAAAATTCTTAGTTGTGGTGTAAATTCATGAATTCCAGTTGTTCAGATAAATGGTGATTTTTGTATTATGAAAACTCGTATTTTTATTGTAAATTCACAAATTTTAGTTGTAAAATTTTTAATGAGATTTTGCCCATAAAATAAGAAATATGTCTTTTTTTTTTCATAAATTGAACTATAATATTTGAACTCATACTTATGTGTGCAAGATAAATGAGTTTGTATAGTGATATGAATAGATAAAAAAATTTCATGATAATTGGGTATTAGCTGTCCCAAGTATTGCATTGAAATTGCCTAACACTTGAATTTAAGAAATTCACAAGAAGAATTAGTGCATTTACAAGTTAATTGCAGCGATTTCATGTCTAGCCCTATAATAAGTAAAATTGAAAAATTAACAGTAAAAATTAATGCATTTACAAGTTTGAGGTTTTATGTAACAAGTGAAGTTACATGTTATGGATTTTGATGTGGTATTTAGTATCCTTATTAATGACATAATAATCATTACGTGAAGATGGTAAAAGTGATGCAAAAGTCACTAGATGGAAGGTATTGAAGGTTGAATTTTGGGAACGAAACAAAGAGAAGATATGTGAGATAAGACCAATTACAAATGCTGCTTTAGAAGAGTGGAACAATATGGCTGACATTGAGGTTTTATGTGTTGTATTCATTGCATGGTGGCGAGAAAATATCAATTGTTATATTTCAAATTGGTATCTGATTTAAGCTAGTCCTAAATGTGTTCAAATTTATGTATATAGAATTCGTACAACTTCAATTTTAATATAATGAAATATATATTATAATGAGTGTATTAGTCAGTTAATTCTAATATTTTATTTTGTACTTTCCACCAATTTGCAAGTCTAGGAGGGATTATTCACAACTGGAAAACGCAAATTTGCAATGGGAATAAATATATCAACAAGAGAAACATGTCCACTTGCAAGTGAACTAATTTAATTCAAGCAATTGTACATGATAATTTGAAAGTATGGAAACTACTATTCACAACTAAAATATGCTAATTTACAACAAGGATACATAACAAGTAAAACACGTCTATTTGCAAGTAGACTAACTTGTTCAAACATTTACATATTTGCCAGGCAATTTCAATGCAGTACTTGAGACAGCTTACAACCAACCGTCATGAAATTTTTTTTATCTATTCACAACGATATACAAAATCATCTATCTTGCAAGTATACGTACGAGTTTAAATATTACAATTCAATTTACAGAAAAAAAAAAAAGGACATATTTCTCATTTTATAGTCAAAATCTCAAAAAAAATTTTACAACTAAAATTTGAGAATTTATAACAGAAATACGAGTTTTCACAACATGAAATCACTGTTTATTTGAACAACTGAAAGTCATGAATTTACAACGCAAACAAGGATTTTCACGACACAAAATCACCATTGTTTAGATAACACATTGTATATTCATTATTCACAGCACAAAAAATTGAAGAACTATGATGGAGGGTGAGAGTGGGGGTGAGGTAGTGGTGAAGGGAATGACGAAGCCGCTGGAAAAACTTGAAGAGGGGCTCCACAGTTGTTGCATAACTTAATGGCATGAGCAACAAGCTTTTTCCCAAAATGAGTGGCCAAAACTACACGAATTTCTTGTAACTCCAAAAATTCTCCACACCTTACAAATGCGTAAAAGAGAAAGATCAAGTAACAGGAGCATCACAAAGCAGTCATGAGTGACAGTAATAGACTGAGAAGATTAGAAAAACAAGGGCCGCAAGCATAACAATCTCAACACAACTTTAACGGTGGCGACGAAGACGGAAGGCAAAAGACGCAGCAGAGCAAGATGAGGGAGTAAGTTTCAATCTAGGTTTATTAAGGGGCGGCAAGGTCTTTTTGCTACATAAGTTAATTTCATTTTGGCCTCAAAAGACTATAACGAGGTTTCAAAATTATTTGGGGTGGAAAAAAATTAGGTTGCTATAACAGTCCTTTAATGAAAATTTCCCTAAAATTTGTAATAAATTATAATTTTATGAAAAATATTAATACCAGGTTTGTAGTTTTGTTGTGTCAGATGCGTTCTTACTTCTTAGCCTGGGGTATGAAGAATTCTGCTCATGCTAGTACAAGTTAAACTAAACTCCTTTGTTATTTAAAAAAAAAAAAAACACTAGACCACGTGATTAGAGGAATTAACCTGGAACTCATCCACTCTAATTAGAACTATTTGGATAAAAACCAAATTATAGTTTTTAAAATAATTTTACCGTATACAAAATAAATATATTATAAGAATTTTATCTCGATTTACGTGAACATGCTTTTAATAGGAAAAGCCAAACACTCCCATGTTGGTTATCTTTTTTATTAGGTTAAACAGGATTGGATTAGATTAGAGGGGGATCAGATTGGGTTTTTAGGCTCGGTACATAGCCTTAATTAGTCTGGTTGGTTTAATATCGTTATTAGTTTTATACTATACCTTGTTGTATTAATTGAACATAGATGTGCATGAAGTAAATTACACACAATCTAAAGAATAAATGTTAGAGTTTAAAGTTCATGAATGGCAGAGGATGTGATTTAAGAACTTCCTTGCTTCTTTTAATTAAACAAACTAAAAGCAATTATACTTATTCCATGGCCCCTCTTGGCGTGTAGGCCGGGACAAGAGACCACTTATTAATTATTAATTAATTAATAATTGTAATAATGCATATCTCCCTGATTGACTTCAATGAAGAGCAATATTCTTTGTTCTAAAAATTAATTACAAAATCATATAATTATCAGCTTTATATAAACTTAAAGAGCTAAGGTGAGTCCAGCAGATACGTTTAGCATCTTAAAGTATTTTGCGATACTCCCAGCACTTTGAAGTATTTTTTTAGGTGTGTCCAGTATCCTGAAATATTTTGTGGTGCGTTTAGCACTCTGAAATATTTTTTCAGGTACATCCAACAGCTTAAAAAATACTGAAAAAATACGTTATGGTGCTTAATATACATTCATTTAACGGACCTTTTAAGAAGTGTATGATGAAATTAAAACTGCTCATGAAATAATACTTTAAAAGTAAAACTGCTTCTGAAAAAACTAATACTTTAGGAGCAAAGTTAGACCACAAAATATTTGAGAGTAATAGATGTACTAAAAACATATTTTAGGGTGATGGACGCAAGATAAACTATTTTACGGTGATGGATGCAAATAATAAGTATGATAAATTCATAAGAGTCACAAAAACAATCTATCTCATGTCAAATTAATAATTTAACTATAAATTGAAGTTACTTAGATGAAGTAATGAGTTATATTAGAATACATTGCTGTAATCAGGAAAAAAAAGAATATTAATTATATTTGTTTTTTTTGGCCAAAAATATTAATTATATTTGTTATTATTCATTCAATGGATGACCATCAAGTTTCAGTCATGCAGCTTAATACAGCTGGATGCAGTGCGTATCATGCAATGTTTTCTATTACTTGTCACTTTCTAGTGGAGAATTTCGCTT